GGAAGTGCCCGGGGGTCCGGCCCCGGGTCCTCCGCCAGCAGACCAGCGAGACGGGGAGCAGCTTTTCTCGCCCCGGAGGAGGTGGGCAGCGGGACCAGGCGTCCCGCCGCTCCAGTCCTCCGGGGCGAGAAAATACCCGTTCGTAACTGCGGATCCGACATAAGTCGGATCCGCGTAACTCGGGGACTGCCTGTAAATGTAACATCCCTAGCAGGACCAGCCCCGACTCAGTCAGCCCAGCCAAGGCTCTGTCATGCGAGACTTAAACACCTCCAGGGATGGAGATTCCACCCCCTCCCTCGGGAACCCAGCCCAGCGCTTCCCCACCCGCCTAGGGAAATCGTTTTTCCTAATCTCCAACCTAGACTCTCCCCTTCCCCCCACTGCAACTTGAGCCCATTGCTCCTAGTTCTGCCATCTGCCTCTCCCCGTCCTTTTCGGAACCCCCTTCAGGGAGGTAAGGAAGCTTTTATTGGGCCAGCTTCTCAGCCCGAGAGTTGCCGACGACCTAGGATCTGCGTATTCCACCAGCCGGCAGCCTCGCAGGAGGGGAGGGGTAGCGGGCCCATTCTGGGCTCCATTTTGCTGTGCGGATCAGGCCGCTGTAGCAGTCGGGAAAGGGAGATCGGGGCAGTGAGATGGGGGAACGGGCAAGTGACTTCAGTGTCCGGGGTCGTCCCAAGGATTCGCTGTGTGTGGTGGGAGCGTGCGAAACCCCGAAGGGCGGGGGCAGGGCGAGCAGCCCTCGGCTGGGGAAGGAAGCGGCGTGTTTCCTCTCTTGGGAGAAGGCCTCGGCGGTTACTCTCACTGCCCCTCGCAGAGGGGATGGATACCCGGGCCCAAAGCTCTGTGCTGCGGGGTGGGCCGAAGAGCTGTTTGCAAAGGGAGGGCTGCCCCGGCGTGCTCCCATCCTCTGATCAGAGACTGGAATGAATCCGAATGTGTCTGGCCTACCGGAGCACGAGTGGACGTTGCCGCGGGGCCACTCCGTTTTCTGTTCAGATTTCTCAAACCGGCGGAGGTTTGGTTTCCATCCCGCACTCTCCCGGCCCCTCTCCCGGCTGCGCCGGCCATATGAACGTGGGAAAAGACGTGAGCCGAGGCCGGGCATGCAGTTGCTAGGCGGGGCACAGAAGGGACGTGCACGAACCCCAATAATCAGTGGCCAGATTTTTTTGGTGCAGGTTTTTCCCCTTCCCAAGGAGCCTCCAATCAATATTCACATGGATGTATTTGAAAAAAGCCAAGAAACCCCCCTCTGGTCTCTGGCGGGTTTTGTTTTGTTTTTTTGTGAAGTCAGAGGTATTTTCCCAATTCTTACACCTCGGCTGCGTCTAGACTGGCAAGTTTTTCCGCAAAAGCAGCTGGTTTTGCGGAAAAGCTTGCCAGCTGTCTACACTGGCCGCTTGAATTTCTGCAAGAACACTGACTTCCTACTGTCTGAAATCAGTGCTTCTTGCGGAAATGCTACGCTGCTCCCGTTCGGGCAAAAGTCCTTTTGCGCAAAAGGGCCAGTGTAGGCAGCTCAGATTTGTTTTGCGCAAAAAAGCCCCGATCACGAAAATGGCGATCGGGGCTTTTTTGCGGAAAAGTGTGTCTAGATTGGCACGGACGCTTTTCCACAAAAAGTGCTTTTCGGAAAAGCGTCCTGCCAATCTAGACGCTCTTTTCTGCAAATGCTTTTAACGGAAAACTTTTCCGTTAAAAGCATTTGCGGAAAATCCTGCCAGTGTAGACGTAGCCCTCTAGTTTACAAACAGAACCAGAGTCCGCAGCTAGTTGTTACTGTCATGTGTCCCCCACGGCCTCTCTGAAGTCTTCGCTTTTCGGGAGGTGTCTGGATTCTGTTGCCTCCTTTGCGTACTGCTGGCTCATGCTGAGCGGGGCTGGGTGAGGGTTTCCTAGCGGCTGTCGACCCGCTCGACTTCTCCTCGGGGGTGACGTTGGATTGCCGCGTCTTTAAAGGATGCTCCCTTCTCTGCTGCAGCGGAGGGAGCCGTGGGGTCCGCGTGGCGGACGAGAGACCGTAGTAAATTGTGGAGTTTGGAATGTAATGAGCTTTGCCCGTTCTCAGGCCTCTGGTAGCCTCAAGGACTGATAGAGTTGAGCTTCAGGACTGCTTGGAGTACAGTAGGATAGCCAAGGTAAGCCGTGCTGCGCAGCCCTTTCCCTTAGCTTCCCCGGGGCTCGCTGGTACGTCTCGGCTTGCCGTGAACAGCGCTTCGTCAGGGCTCGGGGGCTCTGTGGCCTCATGCGGCCTGCTCTGCTAAGGGGCGGTCTGGCGGCTGCGCCCGCTCGGTGATTTCCTCTCTGGGATTCTCTGCCTTCTGACCTTGAGGGGGGTTCGGTTCCAGCCCCCCCGCCCCGCCCGTACTCTCTCGTCTGCGTGGTGGCTCCGGGGAGACAGAGGGGACTCGGCTTCTCTCTCCTTCCCATGGGCTTTCTGAGGCGGGATCGTCCGCCCAGCGATGAGCATGTCAAACGGAGGCCCAAAGCCGAGTGTTTGCCTCTGCTTGTGGAGACTCAATGCCAGGTGGCCCAGCCCTGCTTCACGGGCACAGCCCCGGCCTGCGACTTTTCCTTGTTCCCAGCAGCCAGCGCTGCTCCTGCAGGAGCCACCAACGGCTGCTCGCCTGATCTCTGCATAGGTCGTACGTGTGCGCGTCCAGGAACGTCTCCGCGGGTTCCCCCGCTTCTTTAAAGGCGGACGTACGGGCGCTGCGGCAGCCGTGGCCGGTGCACATTGGTGTAAACACTCAAAGTACTGGCCTGCCGAGCCCTGCTCCCGCCTTTGGCCTTCCCTGCCTAGATCTGCTCTGTTCTCAGCACTAGACAGGGGCGCCGCCCGCCGCACGGTCCCGTGACCCCGAAGACGAGAGCTCACGGGCTCACGGCAACTCTTGTTCTTTTGCTCTTCAGTTGAGGAAGGTGCAAACCATAACGACCAAATCCAACTCCCTCAGGCAGGGGAAAAGCCTGCAGCTGCCCGTGCTCATGAACGGGAAGGAAGACAATTTGTGGTGCACTGAGTTAGAAAGGTGAGCGGCGCTCGCAAGGGGGGCCCCCGCACCGGGGCTCACACTTGATTTCTCCCGACCCAGTTAAAGAAAATCGTCGCTGCCGCGACCCAACATCCTGTGACTGGAGCGTGGGCTCCAGAGTGGGGCGGAGGATGGAGCTTCGAGGGGAGGAGGGGCTGGGGAGGGAGGGACTTACCTCGAGCAGCTCCCGGTCAGCGATGCAGCGGGGGGCTAAGGCAGCTTCCTGCCTCTCCCAGCCCCGCAGACCAGGCTGCCCCCAGACGCCACCAGCAGCAGGTTCCCAGCCAACTGACGTGCGGGGCTAGTGCTCGGGGCAGTTCGCAGAGCCCTGTGCTCTCCTTGTGCCCACCTAGGAGCCGCGGACACTTCTGGGGCGCAGTGCAGTCTGCGCTGGAGGGAGGTGGCAGGTGTGCAGGGCAGCCCGGGTGGGGGGTAGGGGCAGGCGAGGGCTGGGAGCAGGGGCTCTAAGCTGGCTGTTCTTCAGCAAGAAGCTGAATCCCCCTTGGAAAGGGCCTAGGAGTTTGCACTGCTGGCGGGCCCAGGAGCCCGTGAGGGGGACTGCTTCGTGGTTTGGGGACCCTGGGAGCTTTGATGATGGGAAGAGCCATCAAAGCTCCCAGGGTCCCTGGGCAAAGGGGACTTGGGTGTGTCGTCTGGCTCTCCCCGGGCATGGTTGGCAGAAAGCTGGCGCTGCGGGGAGGGGGGGTTGATTTTAGTCCGTCGGCAGGGAAAGGGGGCTCCGTCATGGCAGTGCTCCCGGTGCTGTAACTGTGTGTGCGTGCCGGCAGGCTGCGCCTGTTCCGTGCGTTAGGGGATTCCACACGCTCGGTGCTTGATGAGACTGGCTTTCGTGTTGCTCCGGGGGTCTCCGGCGCCTGACCCTCTTCTTGGGCTCTTCAGGCAGGCGACTGGACAGACACTTGCACCCCCGTAATCCAGGTGTCCCTGAGCCGCCAACACCCATGGTCAGACCCTGGCGGGGGAGGAGGGAGCCAGCGCTGTGCGCTACCCCTCACGCTTCCCCTGCTGGTGTATGGCAAAGCGCCGCTGGGGAGACTTTTCGTCACCGCTCCTGGGGGCGGCGGGGGCTGGGGGGGCACAAGTGCTCCCAATCCTCCTGCTCCCTCCCTCCCAGACCCTGCACCCCCATCCTCCTCCTGCACCCTCCCTCCCAGACCTTGCACCTCCCCCAGTCCACTCCTGCACCCTCTTTCCTTCCCTCCCAGACCCTGCACCCACCTTGCTCCTGCACTTTCCCTCCCTGACCCCGCACCCTCATGCCAGTCCTCCCTCCCTCCCAGACCCTGTACCCCACCCCAGGACACTCCTGCACCCTCTCTCCTTCCTTCCCAGACCCTGCACCCTCCCTCCCCCAGCACCCTTCTTTATGGCAAACACCCGTGGTTCAGAAAACTCCGTCGTCTGGCGTAGCCTGTTTCCCAGCGTGCCGGACCACGGCGCTCCAAGTGTGTTCATGTTGCAGTGCCCAGCCGCACTGCCTGTACCCCAGAGCCCACGGGTGCTAGTGACATTCCTGCATTTCAGTCTAGCGCTGCCCAGTGCTGGGCCCCAGAGAAGAGGGACCGTCCCTGCCGTGGCGTAATACAAGAGAACCAAACGCCGAGCTGCGCGGCAGGACACGTGTTCTCACCGTAGCACGGCTCGCGTGGCAGATGGAAACAGAAAAGCCGCGGCACACGAACGGAACTAGACACGCTTTTATAGCCGGTGGCAGGCGCTATTGTTTTTTTCAGGACACAGCTCTCTACACTAGGGGTGGGGAAGCTTTGGTGGGTCAGTGGTCACTGACCCACAGAAAAATGCGTTGGGGGCTGCACACAAGTGAGGGGAAAAAAGCCCCTGCCTGACATGGCCCCTGACGGAGAAGGAGAAAGGCCCTCCCCACGTTCCCCTCACATTTATAGCCGGTGGCAGGCGCTATTGTTTTTTTCAGGACACAGCTCTCTACACTAGGGGTGGGGAAGCTTTGGTGGGTCAGTGGTCACTGACCCACAGAAAAATGCGTTGGGGGCTGCACACAAGTGAGGGGAAAAAAGCCCCTGCCTGACATGGCCCCTGACGGAGAAGGAGAAAGGCCCTCCCCACGTTCCCCTCACACACCAGCGCCTGAAGGGGCCTAGGCTAGTCGATTTGGGGGGGGGGGGGTGA